TAAGAGAGAGAGAGAGAGGAAAGAAAGAATTTTAATATTTATTTTTTAGTTTTCGGCAGACACAACATCCTTGTTTGTATGTGGTGCTGAGGATCGAACCTGAGCCGCACGCATGCCAGACGAGCGCGCTACTGCTTGAGCCACATCCCCAGCCCTTTTTTTTTTTTTAATATATTTTTTTAGTTGTAGATTGACAACATAGTTTTACTTTATTTATTTATTTTTATGTGGTGCTGAGGATGGAACCCAGTGCCTCACACATGCTAGGCAAGTGCTCTACAACTGAGCCACAAATCCAGCCCCAACACTGAATTTTTTATCAAAATTTTTCCTGATATTCTGACAAGAAGAGGAACATATATGTTACAAATATGGTGGGGGTTTCTGCTTCGTTATGGTAAGGGTCCTCTGGGTGGGGGTCTCTGGTTTGCTTCACAAGTATCTGGGATTTCAGATGTGTGGCACCTCCTGTGGCCCAGAACAGAATTTCTTAAATGCCATCGGTTGGAGCATACATCCCCAGGGTGTTTGTTTAAATACAAATTCCTGTACCTTCCCCAGACCTCCCAAATCAGAACATCTGTGGGTTCTGCATCTTAACCAATACACAGGGTGATGCTACTGAGCATCCAAGTTGGAGAACCCCTGTATTTAGAGAAATCCTGACTCTTTGGGGACTGAAAGCTCATTTCAGCCCCTCTTTGGAACAGTTTGACCCTAGTCGAGGTGTAAAATGGACAATTTAGCAGGATCCTTCTTCAAAATAAATGTAACTAGTGGTAGAGCGCTCTGGGGTTCAAACTCTGGTACTGGAAAAAAAAAGTCTACAATAGGTAACTTCTATAGAGATAAAATTATATAAGCACATGGAGGGGCGGAGGATGGGGAAGTGGACATGTATGCTGATGAATTCAGGGTTTCTTTGGGGGTGATAAATATATTCTAAAATTAGATTGTGGAAATGGGTGAACAACTCTATAAATGTACTAAAGCCCATTAAAGTGTACACATAAGTGGGCCAATGTTATGGTGCATAAACCGTATCCCAATAAAGACGTGAAAGGAAGAACAGTTATGTTACGGGACTGGGGCCTTCCAGGAAACTAAAGAAGTACGAAGTCCCTCTTCAAATCCTGATTCTGCAATCAAGTCAGGAAGCCTTCAGACATGTTGCTCAGAGGAACAGGCCTGAGCTTATTGAAGGGATACGAAAAGGGAAAGGGGACACAGAGAGGGACAACGAGCCTCTCCTGCACTCCAGTTTTTTGGGGATTCCAGAGAAGTTTCCAGAGAGTCTGCCCAGATCCACCTCTTGGCTTTTGACTGACAGCAGCATGACATCACACTTTCAAGTCCCCGCTGCCATGGCAACTCTAGGTCACTTTAGTCCATACCAACAGGTTCTAATTGGATTCTTAGCCATACATTCTTACAGGTTTTATGATCAGGAGGAATTATGCTTATCTCCCTGAGTTTCAGGATCCGGTCTGTGAAAAGGGTTCCAAATGTCTCCCCCTCAGGGTAATTTGGTTCCTTTATTCAACATTATTTTCGGGCCTGCATTTCTCCTGCAGACAATAGGTAGTTTGCTGAGGAATGTGACAGAGCCTGTCCACCTAAGCCAGGCAGGGCTGCAGGGAAATGCTTCTTGGAAAAGAAAGCATGTGGGGGTCAGCACAGCAGGGCTCTTGTGTTCCCACCACCCTCATCTGTCTGTTCCCTATTAATCAGACCAACAGATAATGTCAACAGCCCTTGTGGAAGTCAGGAAAGACAATGGAATATACCTTTTCAAGAGTCTGAAAAAATAGCCACACCCAGCTAAAAACTCATTCAAGAAGGAGGTTTAGGAGTCAGGCATGGTGGTGCACGCAAGCCTGTAATCTCAGCAATTTGCCTGAAATCTCAGCAATTTAGAAGGCTGCTGCAGGAAGATCACAAGTTCAGGCCAGCCTCAGCAACTTAGGGAGCCCCCTAAAATAACTCAACCAGGCCCTGTCTCAAAACAACAACAAAAAAATAAAAAGGGCTGGGGATGTGACTCAGTGATTAAGCACCCCTGGGTTCACTTCCCAGTAGCAAAAGAAAAATAAAAGTCTAAATAAAGTTTTTAAAATTTATTTTAGTTTTAAGTGGGCACAATATCTTTATTTTATATTTACGTGGTGCTGAGGATCGAACTCAGTGCCTCAAGCATGCTAGGTGAGCACTCTACCACTGAGCCACAACCCCAGCCCTAAATAAAGTTGGTTTTTTTGTTTTTTTTTTTCAAAGAAAAGTATGAACATTCGTCACCAGAAACCTCTTCCTATGGAAAAATTCTAAAGCAGCAGATTCCAAAAGGCTGAGTTATCCCAGAACCCTGAAGCCAGTGAGGCTTGAGTGCAGCGAACCCAAGTGAGGGTGTCAGAGACAAAGGCAGAGGTTGTGGGTGGCAGCTGGCAGGGCTGGGGAGGACTTTGGCTCTTCCTTTTAGTGATATGGGAGTATCTGAGTGGGCTGACTTGGATCTGATACACATTTTAGCATGATGTTCTGGTACCTGGGCAGAAGGTGCCTGCAGGTAGGGGAGGGGCTGGCAAAAAAAGAAACAAGGAGCCAGGAGAGGACGCTAATCCGACTCGACTGGGAAAGGACAGAGGACTGAGGCAGGCGCCACGGGATGGGGCATTGGAGGAGGCGAGGAGTGAGTTTCTGAATCTACTCTGCAGATGAAGCTCACAGGATCTGCTGATCCGTGGAATGAAAAGTGGGAGAAAATTTTAAAGAGGCAGAAGCCTGGAGTACATCGGGCTCCCTGACTTTTTTTGTAAGGCGGATGCAAACTTCGTCAATGAACGAATGAAAAGTAGAGGGTGAAAGCCTAGAGGCAGCCTCCGGTCTGGTTGAGGGTGGGTTCCTGAACCTGCCAGGTTTGGATTCAGATTCCTCTCTGACCTTGACAAGGTCAGATACAATCTGGAGCCCGCTTAGAGCTCTCCAAAGCTGTCAGCAGTGGTGTCAAACGACCGGGTCTCTCAAGCCCCGCCCCTCCTGGCCCAGGCCCCGCCTTCACCCCTTCAGGCCCGGCCCCTCCCTCCAGACAGGCTCCGGCCCCTCCCTCCAGAAGGCCCCGGCCCCGCCCTCCAGAAGGCCCCGGCCCCGCCCTCCAGAAGGCCCCGGCCCCGCCCTCCCGACAGGCTCGGGCTCAGCTCAGACCCCCGTCCTCCGGTCCAGGTCCCGCCCACGATCCCCAGGCCCCGCCCCCGGCGGCGGCACGGCGCTTCGGGTGAGCCCGGGTCCGGGGTTTTGTGGTCAGTACGAGGGGGCCGCCTGGATCGGGGAGGCTGGGCGCTGGGGACGGCCGGGCCCGTGGGGGCGGGGGCGCGGGGACAGCCTCGGCGCCTCCTGCCGCTGGGGCCGGGCGGGGGGTCCCGGGTGAGGAGACAATTTTCCGGCCCCCCCGCCCCACTTCCGGGGCCACCACTTTCACTTTCTCTTCCGCCGGAGCTGGTCCCCTGCTTCCGAATGACAGGCGCCTCCGGGAGCGCTGGGGTAGGGCCGCAGCCCCAGACCGCAGGGGCGCTCCCAGGGGAAGCGGGGCGCCCCTCGGGGACCTGGAGCGCCCCCGCCGTGCGGCGCCGGCGTCCTCTCCCTCCTTTCAGCCCCAGCCCCGTTTCCTCTTTCGCCCGTTGCCTGGGTGCCCCCTGCGCTTTCACGGTCCCGGGTGGGGTTCTGGCCAGTTCCCTGTGCCAGGCCCGGGCCCCGGGTGGTGTGACGCTACCCGGCTGCCGCCCGGGACACCAAAGCATGGAAGGGGCTTGGGCCGGCGCCCAAGGCCACTGGCCGAGGCTGAGTCGCTCCTGGTCGCATGCTCTCTCCCAGGTGGCCTGGAGGAAGCATTTCCACGAAGCCACAGCCCCCCTCTGGGGGATGGGCGCAGCCAAGCCAGATGGACGAGAAGATCAAGAAAGGTGGGCACAGAGGGAGGGAGAGGAGGGGTCCCAGCCTTGCCTGCCCTCTCTCTGCCCACCTGCCCTTCAGTTTCTTCTCTTGCATTCTGGGCCGGCTCTGTGCTGCGATAGGAGGTGGGCGGGCACTACCAGAGGACACTGACTTGAGACCTGGGCGGGTGGGGAGACGACCTCAGCGGGCCTATCAGAATTCCTTGCCTCTTCTTTTGCCCAGGCCACCCAACATTGTAGAACCTGGGCGGTTTCACTGCCCAGCTGCAAACCCTTCCTTGCCCCTGTGTTCTTAGAACCAAGTCCTGAGCCCTGGGTGACCCCCCACCCCCTCTCCCTGCACTTACCCCCTTGCTGACTGTAGTGGAGCCCCACTGGCTTCTGTTCTGATCCTGCTGCGCCTTCCCTTACTCCTCTCCACATGAACACCACCCCCTTCACCCTCCACGTCCCCCCTGCTGCTCCTCCTCAGATCTCAGCACCGTCCCTGATCTCCTTACCCTGTTTATTTCTTGCCAACATGGACCACAATCTGATTTCTTTTTTTGTCCTGTTAAATTTGTTTATTTCTCCCTCTCCTTTGGACTGGCAGGTCTTTGAGGGGAGGGGCCCTGTTTATTTTAACCATTTCCTGGGACTGTGGGTCACACACTGTAGGAGCTCAGTGAATGCTCATCAGATAAATGAATGGAAGTATGGGAAGTCTTGAGTAGGAAGGAAAAATGGAACCAAATGAGCCTAAGTTGGCAGGAGTAGAGAGTGTCAGAGAAGGGACTTTCTTCCAGAGAAAGGGACTTTAAAGCTGGGTAGAGAAGGATATGTAGTAGTTTATCAGGAAGATAGGGAGCTGCGTGTGTGCACACAGGGTCACCATGTCCCTCATCCCCTTCACCCCCCACCTCCCCAAATGTAACCTGTGCTAACCTGCTTCTATTTTGCTGACAATAGCAGAGGAGATGGCCCTAAGTCTCGCCCGGGCAGTGGCTGGTGGGGATGAACAGGCGGCTATGAAGTGTGCCATCTGGCTGGCAGAGCAACGGGTGCCCGTGAGTGTGAAACTGAAGCCTGAGGTCTCCCTGACACAGGACATCAGGTGAGGCCTGCGTGGTTGGCCAGGGACTTGGGCTTCCTGAACCTTCATGGGCAGCCTATCAAATGTTCTTTTCTTTTCTTTTTTGCACCAGGTATTGAACCTGGGGTGCTTAACCACTGAGCAACATCCCCAGCCCTTTTGTTTTTTATTTTGAGATAAGGTCTCACTGAATGGCTCTAATTTGCCTCAGCCTCGGGATTGCAGGCATGTGCCACTGCACCCTCGAGAATGATTCTTGGCTGGGCACGGTGGCGCTCACCTGTAATCCCAGTGGCTCAGGAGGCGTAGGCAGGAGGATTGTGAGTTCAGAGCCAACCTCAGCAACTTAGGGAGCCCCTGAGCAACTCAGCGAGACCCTGTCTCTAAATAAAATATAAAAAGGGCTGGGGACATGGCTTAGTGGCCGAATGTCCCTGGATTCAAACACCAGTTTGTCACTGAGATGTGGGGCAGGTTATTTTACCTCTCAGAGTTTGCTTTCTCATTTTTTAAAATGAAACAATAACAGTAGTGATAGGGTTGTTAGGATATCAGTCTTCATATAATAGAAGAAAAATAACAGTGGCATAAAAAATGTCAGTTCAAATTTGGAGGTTCTGCGCTCATGGTCCTCAGAGGCACATCTTTCTTCTGTCTCATTATTCATGAAGTTCATCTCATGGTTCAAAATGACTGTTCCAGCTCCAGCCATTACATCAGGAAGAAGGGAAGACTTCTCTTAAGAACATAGACTAGAAGTTGCACATACTTCTGCTTCATTCCTAATCTTGTTCTCACAGCCACACTCAGTCTGCAGGGAGGCTGTGAAATACAGCCGGGTATCCAGCTAGACTGCAGGGTTCTCTTAGCAAGGAAAGCAAGGGAGAATGGATGCTGTCAGTCTTTGCCCCAGAGGTTTTAATCTCTACTGAAACACCAAAGTGTAATCACTCAATAAATGTTGATGTCTCTGATTCTTTTTTTACTGCTTTTTTATTGCTGCCTATTAAGGTAATAGTGTGTCAGAGTTGTGCAGTCATCCCCACAGTCGATTTTAGAACATTTTATTATCCCATAAAGAAAACCCATACTCAGCTGGGCATGGTATCGCATACCTGTAATCCCAGTGACCCGTGAGGCCAGCCTCAGCAATTTAGTGAAGCTCTAAGCAACTTAGTGAGACCCTGTGTCAAAATAAAAAATAAAAAGGGCTGGGGATGTGGCTCAGTGGTGAAGTATTTCTGGGTCCAATTCCCCAGTAACAAAAAAGAAAAAGAAAATAATGTACTCATTAGCAGTAAGTCCCTCTCCACCTTCTTTCCAGGGCCATCTATCTCTAGGGATTTGTCTATTCTGGAAATTTTATTTATGTGGAATCTTACCACAGGTGGTTTTTTGGTCTGGCATCTTTCACTTAACATGTTTTCTAGATTCATCCATGTTTACCATATGTATCTGAACTTTTTTCTTTTTATTGCTGAACAACAATCCACTGTGTGGACAAATCACTTTGTCTTTAGCCTTCAGTCAGTTGATGGTCATTCAGGTTGTTCGTACTTCCTGGCTGTTATGAATAATGCTTCTGTGAACATGTGTGACCAGGTGGACTTGTTTTCATTTCTCTTGGGGTTACCTCCCAGTGGCATTGCTGGGTCACAGGGTAACTCTACATTAACCCTAATGAGGAACTGCAAGGCTGGTTCTCCAAGTGGCTGCACCATTTCACATTCTGGCCAGCAGCATGTGGTTTTGATTATAGCATCCTCGTGAGTTTGAAGTAGTATCCCAATGTGGCTTTGACTTGTAGTTCCCAAATCATTTGTTAACTAATGATGTGGAGCATCTTGTCATGTGATTGTTGGTCATTTGCATCTTTTCTTTGGATAACTGCCTATATATGTCTTTTGCCAGCTTTTTGTTGTTGTTTTATTGTTTTGTTTTGGTACTGGGGATTGAACCCAGGGGCACTTTTCTACTGAGCTACACCCCAGTGCTTTTTATGTATTTATTTTTCATTTTGAGGCAGGGTCTCGTTAGGTTGCTTAGGGCCTCACTAAAGTGCCCAGACTGGCCTCAAACTTGTGATCCTTCTGCCTCAGCCTTCCAGGTGGCTGGGATTACAGGTGTGTGCCACCGCACCTGGCTTCAGATTCGTTCTTGCTATCCTTGCTTTGCAGATGTAATGTGTTCCCAAGTCTGAGAGTGCTCATTAGATTGTTCTGCACTTTACATCATCTCTGTTTCCTTTGGAGTCAGTTCTGGTTTTTCCTATTAGCTCTTCCTTTTCATATTTTTAGTCTTCCAAAAGTGTTTGAGGATCCTTGAGAAAAATTTATAATATCAGGCTGAGGTTCAGTGAAAGAGTGCTTGCCCAGCATGTGGGAGGCCCTGGGTTCTGTCCCCACTACTGCAGACAACAACAAAACCACTGGAATAGGGGCTGGGGTTTGGCTCAGCAGTAGAGTGCTTGCCCAGCACATCTGAGATGCTGGGTCCATCCTCAGCACCACATAAAAATAAATAAATAAAGGTATTATGTCCAACAACAGGGAAAAAAAAAAGCACTGAAATAATGGTGTTTGGCCTTAAATCCTGCCTCTGGCAGTCATTCCTTGTACTTTGGCATAAACATGTAACATGTTTATCTGTGGAAAAGAGACAACAGTACTGCCTGTGAGCTCCTTGAGAGGATTAAGAGTCAGTATGCACTGGGCCTCTGCACGTGGTAAATGACCACTTTTGGAGGTTTGGCTGAAAGGCCTGGAGAAGGGATGGAAGAGGCTGGAGAAGTGGGGAGGGCAGCCCCCGTGCTGCCAGTTGTGGCTCAGGCTAAGTGCTGCCTGGGGCTGGTGGAGGGACTTCGGCTGTGGCCCTAATAGAGGAGGAAGCAGAGGGACCCGGGAATCCAGGGGAGTCTCCTCAAGACGGGAGACTTGTGAGTGGACATGCGAGCAAATGTGTACACGTCCTAGCTGGTGGCCATGGCGGACCTGTGGCCCCCCTCTCCCCTCCAGGCTGTGTGTCAGCGTGGAGGATGCCCAGATGCACACCGTCACCATCTGGCTCACTGTGCGCCCTGATATGACCGTGGCCTCCCTCAAGGACATGGTGAGTGAGGGGCTGGTGGGAGTCCCTGTGGGGCCTGTTTCGGTGCCTCTCCTCACCTCCGCCCTCCTCCCTCCCTCCCCTCTCTTGGCCCCTGCCAGGTATTCCTGGACTATGGCTTCCCACCCACACTGCAGCAGTGGGTAATTGGGCAGCGGTTGGCACGGGACCAGGAGACTTTACACTCCCATGGCGTGCGGCGGAATGGGGACAGTGCCTACCTCTACCTGCTGTCAGCCTGCAACACCTCGCTTAACCCTCGGGAGCTGCAGCGGGAGCGGCAGCTGCGGATGCTGGAAGGTGAGGCCCTGGCCCAGGCAGTGGGGCGCACACAGGGCCAGGCTCACCTGAGGCCGTAGCGAGCAGGGCACAGTGCCTGCCTGGACGGGGGGTCAGGGACAGAGACGTGGGCAGAGAGCGCTACAGGGAACCCTCTTTAGAACATCTGGTGTGGGGCGAGGTGGAGTTCTGCCTTGGCCCTGGCATTTACCAGAACTGTGTGACCTCAGGCAGGTTCGTTCCTGTCTCTGAATCTTCAGTTTCTATTATCTGTAAACGGGGTATGGTGATAATTATAACTAGTATTTATTCTAAATTTCTTACTTTTGCAGTATTTCATAACTACAGAAAAGTTACAGAATTGCACAAAAAAATTACATAAGTTCCAAAGTACTTTTTTTTTTTTTTTTGGTACCAGGGATTGAACCAGGAGCACTTTACCACTGAGCCGCATCTCCAGCCCTTTTTGAGACAGGGTCTTCCTAAGTTGCTAAGGCTGGTCTTGAACTTGCAATCCTCCTGTCTCAGCCACCCGGGTCGCTGGGATTACAGGCGTGCACCACCGCACTTGCTTTCCCAAATATGAACACTTTACCATATTTGCTTTGCTTTATCATTCTCTTCTAAATATAAAATGGTTTTAATTTCTGAACCATTTGAGAATAAGGGTCAGACATGATGTCCCCTTCCCCAAATACTTCAGTGTCATTTCTGTAAATAAAAAGGTCATTTTCTTGTGTTACCATGTGCAGCTCTCCAATTCAGAAATCAGCATCAATGTAGTACAGTCAGCCCCTCTCAGGTTTCACCAGTAGCCCCACAGATATCCTTCATGGCAAAAGAAGCAGTCCCATCCCAACCCTCCTCCCGGGGCTCTCCCTGGTTCCTGACTCCCCTGAGCTAACTGAAAGTCTGGCGCCATTCCTTCTTTTCCTCTGGTTTCTTCACAAATGGATCCCTGGGTGTTCTGACAGGCCTCCTCAGAGGGGACCCTGCGGCTCTTTGGGTGCATCAGGAGGCCCGAGTCTGGAGCATCATGGGTGGGGTAGGGATCTGATCCCTGAGGGAGCCAGAATGCCCGCCTGGCAGGACAAGGCTGGAGTCAGGTCCAGGGAGGAGAGAGGCTGAAGGTGGGGTGCCTGGCTGGCTCAGGGTGTGGACAGTGGATAGCATGGATCCGGCCGGCCTTCCTCCTCTGCAGATCTGGGATTCAAGGATCTCACGCTGCAGCCAAGGGGTCCCCTGGAGCCAGATCCTTCCAAGTCCGGGGCCCCCCAGGAGCCTGGCCAGCAGCCAGATGCAGTGCCCGAGCCCCCACCGGTAAGCGGCAGTCCTGTGCGCCCTGCCTGCCCCACCCGGTCTGCCACTCTGCTCATGGCTCTCTGCTCCCAGGTGGGCTGGCAGTGCCCTGGCTGCACCTTCATCAACAAGCCCACGCGACCTGGCTGCGAGATGTGCTGCCAGGCGCGGCCAGAGACCTACCAGGTTCCCACCTCTTATCAGCCGGATGCGGAGGAGCGAGCGCGCCTGGCCAGCGAGGAAGAGGCGCTGCGCCAGTACCAGCAGGTGGGCGCTCCAGTCCCGGGACAGACTCCTGCCCACTGGACACGGGAGGCCTAGGCCAGGAAGGGAGCCCCCTGCCGCTCCTCCCTCGTTACTGCCCTGCCCTCCTGACCTTACCGCTAGCTGTGGCCCTTCACTTGACTGCGCGCTGCCTGTCTCTGAGGTCACCCTGGGCCGGGACTCTGCTTCCTGTTGTGGAGCACATCCAGTTTCTTCATGTGCTCCGTCCTGTGTGGGCTGTGTCTCCGTCTGCACTTTAACAACCCCCCATGTACGCAAGTGTCCCTGCTGTGACCTCAACATCCGTGCTGTGACCTTGAGGAGGCCTGAGCAGGGACCTCACCCCTATCCACCTGTACCCTCACTCCTCCCAACCTTGTCCTCTCCTGCCCCTACTCCCCTCGCCTCTGGCCCCGCCTACCCTGGCCTCTCACTCTCCCTGGGGGAATGACTGCCCTCCAGGAGCCCCTGTGGTGACACCCCTCTCCCTACCAGCACAGCCCCTGCCCCACCCTGGCCATCACCCCACTCCGGTCCCATCTGTAGCCTTGCTTGTCTCCCGGCTTTGCCGCCCCTTCCTAACTGACCAGACCCCACCTGTGCCCTCTGCGTCTCCGCCCCGCCCCGGTGCCTGGCAGGACCTCAGCCCCCTCAGACCCCGGCCACGTCCTTTCCACCGCTGTTCCACCCGCTTCCCAGCCTGGCCACGCTCGCCCGCCCCGCCCCTCTCCCTCACCCTGCCCCCACCCTGGTCTCACCACCCCCAAGACCCTGACCCGCCCCGTGGCCTCGCTCGTGTGCCCAGCGGAAGCAGCAGCAGCAGGAGGGGAACTACCTGCAGCACGTGCAGCTGGAGCAGCGGAGCCTGGTGCTGAACACCGAGCCCGCCGAGTGCCCCGTGTGCTACTCGGCGCTGGCGCCCGGCGAGGCGGTGGTGCTGCGCGAGTGCCTGCACACCTTCTGCAGGTGCGCCCCGCCCCCACCCAGCGGCGCGCGGTCCCTCGCAGGGCCGCCAGTGGGTGGGCCTGTGTGCTTTCATTTCCTTGGACACCCGCAGAACCTTTCAGGTAGGCCCTGTCTCCCCAAGGGCAGAGGAGCAGTGGGAGGTACAGAGAGGCCAAGCGACTTCCCCAAGGCCACACAGCCCATGTAAGAAGCCCAGACATGAACTCAGGCATTCTGACTGCAGACTTTCTGCCCTTATTTTAACCCCAACTACCCAGGCCCAGGTGAGGGGAATGGGCCGCTTTCCCTCGCAGCTTGTATCAACTTTGGCCTCTACTGGCTGGCGCTATCCCCCACCCCACCCCACCCCAATCGTGGCTCTTCCACCCCTGGACTGGGAAAACGTGTTCGTTTGCCACGGTGGTCATTGCTAGAGCTGTACTGAGCGCCAGGTCCCCTCTTCCTCCTGGAGGTGACATTGGGGAGGAGGCCTATGTTAATGGATAATTGCTGGCTGAGCAGTGGGTCATGAGCCCTGCTTGGGGACCGTCAGGACGCCTCTAAGGAGCGTCCCTGGAACAGAAGATTGGGCCCAGGCTTGGACCTCGACCTCACTTGTCTCAGGACTTCACTTGTCTCAGGAGACCTGTGGGTCCAGAGGAGAGGGACAGAGGGGTTGGGCTTCCCGGGGCTCAGCGAGCACATGGGGGTTTGCGTGGGTGCTGGGGTGCAAGGGGTGGGGAGCTCCTGGGCACTGACACTGCTGTGGTGCTGAGAGTGGACTTAGGGGCCAGGTGGGGGCAGGGAGGAGGCTGTGTCACCAGGTGGAGTGATGGGGGCCTGGGTCAGAGCAGCAGGGAACAGCGGGGCTGCTGGATGGAAGGAAGTCGGGTGTTGAGGAGAAGCCCAGCTAGGGCCCTGGGGTCAGGCTGCGCCATGGGAGGGTGGAGTCCCTGTGGGTATTTGTAGGACCTAACCCTGTCCTCCCCCCCAGGGAGTGCCTGCAGGGCACCATCCGCAACTGCCAGGAGGCCGAGGTCTCCTGCCCCTTCATCGACAACACCTACTCCTGCCCCGGCAAGCTGCTGGAGAGGGAGATCCGGGCGGTAAGGCTGGGGGCAGGAAGGCCCCAGAGTCCTTGGAGCTGGCCTAAGCTGGCCTGACATCTCAGTAGACATTTTTCAAGAGCCTCCTCCATGTTGGGCACTGGGGTCCAACCAGGACAGGATTTGGGGGAAGTAGCTGAAACTTACTGACAGTTGTAACTTTTCCTTCATGAAGGGAAGAGATAGAGCTGTTGGGGTGGGGAGCTCTGGGCCCCGGGGCTGGGTGTATGACCTGAGTTCCTTTCTTTCTTTCTTTCTTTTTTTTTTTTTTTTTAAAGAGAGAGAGAGAATTTTTTAATATTTATTTTTTAGTTTTGGGCAGACACAACATCTTTGTTTGTATGTGGTGCTGAGGATCGAACCCGGGCCCCACGCATGCCAGGCGAGCGCTACCGCTTGAGCCACATCCCCAGCCCCTGAGTTCCTTTCAAGAATTGTGGAGATTGTGGTGGAGGGTGTGCATGAACAAGTTAGAGTAGACTTGGCACATGGCAAGCCCTTGTATCAGCTGGTTTTTGCTGTGTAACAAGTCACCCCAGATTTAATGGCTCCCAACAATTTAAGTGATCAGTTGCAAGTTAGTGATTCCAGTTAGGCTGAGCAGGGGGTGCTTCTTGTCTGCGCTGGGCCAGGCTGCTCTTTTCTGGGCTTGACAGGTGGGCCACTATGGTGGACTGGTTCATGTGGCCCCTCTCCACCTGCAGGCTGGCAGGGCTCACTTGGTGGTGGTTCCAGGGTTCCAGGAGCAGCTGTGGGGAGCCTGGGTGTGGGAGTGCTTGCGAGTCTCTGCTGTCTTCTACCTGCTGTCCCTGTGGGAGGGGACATGAGCAACAGCCTAGCACAGTGCTGTGGAGGCTCCTGTGTGCGTGCTGCTGCTCTTGTGGTTCAGGTTATTAAGGGGTCAGTTTCCCCTCTGGGTACTGATGACTTGAGCAAATCCTTCCCTCCTCTGGACCTCCATTTCCCCATCACAGTGTAAACTGTTGGGCTTGATTCACCAACTTCAAATTGCAAGAAAATGGCCTTCCCAGAATCGAGCGTCTAGGGTTCGCAGGCCAAAACATGGAGGCAGGGCCAGAGGTGCCAAGGGCCAGATGGGAGATGCTTCCCAGACATGCACATAGGACCCCCGTTTCTTCCCATCCCAGGACATCCTCCGACTGCATTTTGTCCCGTTTCCTCCAGTATTTCTGGCAGACATATTTAAAAAAAAAAAAAAAAATCAACTTTATTAAATTATACTTAGTACACAATAAAATGTACCCATTGTCACTGTGCAGCTGGATGAGTTCTTTTTCTTTTCTTTTCTTCTCTTCTTTTTCAGTGCTGGTTATCAAACCCAGGGCCCTTCCCAGGCTAGGCAAGCTTTCTACCCTAACCCAGAGCCCTAACCACCACCCAGTCAAGATACAGAGCAGAGGCCTGATTCTTACCTCATTGTAACTGGCAAAGACGCACCAACTTATTATTTTGCTGAAGAATCTTACATATAATACAAAAATGTTATATAATATAATAATCATTTCCTCTGTCTGTATGACATTGATTTGTATGTGGGGAGCTGAACTTAGAGCCTCATACATGCTTAGCAGTTCCTCTGCCTTGAGTTGTATCCCCAGCCCAAACTGGGATTTTTTTTTTTTTTTTTTTTTTTTGCGGGGGACTATCAGGAATTGAATCCAGGAGGGCTTAACCACTGAGCTACATCTCCAGCCCTTTTTATTTTTTAATTTCAGACAGGAGTCTAACTTGCTTAGGGCCTCACTGAATTGCTGAGACTGACCTCAGACTTGTGATCCTCCTACCTCAGCCTCCCAAGTTGCTGGGATTACAGGTGTGCACCACCATGCCTGGCCCAAATTGATTTTTTTGAGTATGATGTATCAGGATACTAATTTAACTATATTGCCCTTATCATTGCTTCTTCTTCTTATTTTTTTTTTCCCATGGTACTAGGTATTGAACCCAGGACCTCCTGCATGCTAGACATGTACTCCACCATCTAATTACATCCCTAGCCCTTTTAATTTATTTTTATTTTTGGTTTATTGTTTATTTATTTACTTTGATGCCAGGGATTGAAACCAGGGATTCTTAACCACTGAGCCACATCCCCAACCTGTATTTTTTATTTTGAGGCAGGATATTCTTTTTACTTATTTATTTATTTATTTAGAGATATTATCTTGCTGAGTTGCTGAGGCTGGCCTCAAACTTGCTATCCTGCGTCAGCCTGCTGAGTGGCTGAGATCGAAGGCCTGCACCTTGGCACCCGGCTTTCATGGAGCCTTTAAACACTAGAAGGGTTATAGGAGAAAAGTACTCGGGACTGGGTTGACTGTATGGGCTGGGGCTTCCTGGAGGATATTTGGTGGCACAGAGGGCCATCTGTCGGGTATTCTGAACCCCAAGCACAAGGACATGGTGTGTTGGCAGCTCCTGAGCCCCGAGGATTACCAGCGGTTTCTGGACCTGAGCGTCTCCATTGCCGAGAACCGCAGCGCCTTCAGCTACCACTGCAAGACCCCAGACTGCAAGGGCTGGTGCTTCTTTGAGGATGATGTAAACGAGTTCACCTGCCCCGTGTGTTTCCACGTCAACTGCCTGCTCTGCAAGGTGCGTGGTCCCACGCTGCCTCCTCCCCTGGTTCTGTGGAGGCTGACTGCATCAGAGATCAGCGCCTGTTCCCATGGGGAGGGAGCGGCGATGTTGGTCTGGGAGTTGTGATGAGGAGCTGCATGTCGCTGCCCTGACCCGGGAGGCCAATCCCAGCACTGGCCCCGGCACAGCCTAGTACTGATCCTGATCCTGGACCACGTCCTGGTCCTGGGCTGAGTTCAGCTTTGGCCCTAGTCACAGACTGAATCCTGGTCCCGTATGGAGCCCTGACCCTTGCGAGCCCCAAACTTGGCCCCAAACTCAGCTCAGACTCTACATCGCACACTTAACTGGTCCCATGCTAAGCCAGACACCGAGACCCACCCAACCCTGCCCCATCCTTCCCCAGGCACATCCCAATGCCTTTAAAAGTTGCCCATTAAAGTGATGAGCAGGCAGAGCCCAGGCTCAGACTCAGGCTTGGCAAACTGGGTCTCCAAGCAATGGACCTCTGGTGGGGTCAGAACCACAGAGGCCCAGGGACCTTCTCTGGTTGTGCCTGAAGTAGTGCTTCCAGTCTGAAGCCCCGGGAACTCTCTCCTGGACACCCCCCCCTCCCCCCACCCCGCAGGCCATCCACGAGCGCATGAACTGCAGGGAGTATCAGGACGACCTGGCCTTGCGCGCTCAGAATGACGTGGCAGCCCGGCAGACCACGGAGATGCTGAGGGTGAGCCAGGGTCGGGCTGATTTCTGCTCTGGGGGCTTCTCCGAGCTGAGTTCACAGATCCCTGGAGGCGCAGAGCTCCCTTCTGTCAACTCCCATCCCGGGATGGGCCTTAGGCCCGGAGTCAGGTGGTGAGCAGCAGGAGCAGGGTCTGGGTGGAGGCAGGGGACCGCTGTGACAAAGGAGGCCAGAGAAGTTCTGGGAGGGCGCTGGAAGCCTCCAGGGATGGGCGCGGCAGGCGGCAGTCCCCGCCCACTCACCCTCTGCTCCAGGTGCTGCTGCAGCAGGGCGAGGCCATGCACTGCCCGCAGTGCCATATTGTGGTGCAGAAGAAGGATGGGTGCGACTGGATCCGCTGCACCGTCTGCCACACCGAGATCTGCTGGGTCACCAAGGGCCCGCGGTGGGGCCCTGGGGTGAGTTGTCCAAGGAGCAGAAGGCTTGGGGGTGGGGTGGGGAGAGTGGGGCTTGCCTGGGAGAGGGGCTTGGAAAACTATAGCCTGGGGACTGTGCCAAGCCCCACATGCTAGACAAGTGCTCTGCCACCGAGCCCCAGCCCGGCCCAGGAGAGGGTTTTTTAACATCTGTTTGTTTGTTTTTTTAACTGAACACAGGCAGGTGTGCGCTACCATTGAGCACATACCCAGCCCATTTTTATTTTTTTGGTACCCGGTTTTGAACCTTGGGGCTCTTTACCATGAAGCTACATCTCTAGCCCTTATTATTTGTTTAGAGAGGGTCTCACTAAGTTGCTGAGGCTGACCTCGAACTTATGATTCTCCTGCCTCAGCCTCCTGCATTTCGACTGCACCTTGCTTTTTACACTTTAATTTTTTTTAAATTTGTTCTAATTAGTTACACATGACAGTAGCTTTTTACATTTTTATTTTTTAATCATTTTTATTTATTTATTTTTAAAATTTTTTAGTTGAAAACGGACACAATATCTTTATTATTCTTTTTGTATTTGTTTATTTTTACATGGTGCTGGGGACCGAACCCAGGGCCTCACGCTTGGGAGGCAAGCACTCTACCACTGAGCTACAACCCCAGCCCATTTATTTTTATTTTAAAAGTATTTATTTATTGGTACTGGGGATTAAACCCAGGGGTGCTTAACCACTGAGCTACATCTTCAGCCCTTTTTATTTTTTTATTGTGAGACAGGGTCTCACTAAATTCTAAAGCCTCTCATTAAATTTCTGAGTCTGGCCTTGAACTTGGGATCCTCCTGCCTCAGCCTCCTGAGTCACTAGAGTTATAAGCATGTGCCACTGAGCCCAGCTACATCTTTAAATGGTGTAAACAGTATTGAAAGCGCACAGTATTTCATGACAGGTGAAAAAGATATGAAATCTAGGCTGGGGGAGTACCTCAGTGGTAGGTGCTTGCCTAGTATATGTGAGGCCTTGGGTTCAGCCCTGATCACTCTGCAGAAAACAGAAAATTAGGTGAAATCCAGATTTCAGTGTCCTCAGTACAGTTCTGTCCGAGGCCAGCCACACTCTTGTCCTGGCCTCCAGTCTCTGGCTGCTTTGGTGCCCCAGGGGCTAAGTATATGGCTGCCAGTGCCCAACATCAGGCCTTTACAGGAACCTTCTCCCTCCCTGTTGCAGAGGACAGTGGGAAAGTGCAGTCAGGAGTCCGGCAGCCTCCTCCCTGGCCCCCCACACTGAGCACTTCCCTGAGGCTCAGCTTCCTCCCCTGGGACAACCTTGGAGCCTCAGGCTTGTCAGAATCAAATGACAAAGGCTTTTGCTAGGTAGAGCGTCCCCTGGGAGCTCTCTGCTGAAGTCAGCTGTCCTCACTGGGGGTGTTACTGGAGTTGGGGCTCCTCGTGTGGCACACAGGAGACACAGACGAAATGGAGGGGTCTGCTCGCTCTCGCACCAGCGCTGCCCACCCGGATGTGCCAGTACTGTCCGAGCCTCTCCCACCCTGGGTCTGCGGCAGACGGACACGACTCTTGTAATAGGGGAGCTGCGGGGCCCAGAAAAGGCCTGCATGACCGCCTCTACCAGGTGGCCTAGCCAGGAGGGCCGCTCAGGAGGACCTGCGGGGACAGGGCCCGAGTGGCAGGTGTGCTCAGGTGGGTCTGAGGGAGCAGCACAGGCAGGCTGTCCTTCCTCCCTGCTTCAAGGACGCTTCCCTCTGTCCTCTAGGGCCCCGGAGACACCAGTGGGGGCTGCCGCTGCCGTGTGAATGGCATTCCTTGCCACCCAAGCTGTCAGAACTGCCACTGAACCCAAGATGGTGGACCCAGCCCTACATCCCGAGGCAGTTGTGGGCAGGGCTGGGCTCAGAACTTGGCTCTGATTTCTGGGCTGCAAGACCGTTTTGTGCTTTGGCCAAGGCAGAGGCCCTGTGGGGATGGCCTGTTTGTGACAGGTGGTGTAGAGGCCCCACCTGAGCCTGCTGTTGGGTCACCTGTGCCCAGTGCCTTTATCCTCTTCCTGCGGGCTTGCGGCCCATCCCTCGCCTCGTCCCTGCAGCCCAGACCTTCTGGAAGGGGCTCTGTGAGCCACCGGCACCCCCACTCCTCGCCTGCAGGTAACAGCTAGCCACAGCTCGCCCCTCCACGTTGGCTTTCTGGGGTGAATTTGCTCCGCCTTTGCTGTTGGAGGCTCAGAGCTGCTGAGACCGGGCCAGCTGAGAGCACGCCCTTGGGTCTGACCGCCACCATCTCCCTCTGTTGCCTGCATGAGCAGATTAAAATGCTTTTCCAGGAAGGGTGTGTGTCTTGTCCTTGAGAGGGAGTGTCACGGGCCAGTGTCCCTGAGGCCTCTGGGAATGACATCAAGAAGGTAATCTGTCAGCCCTTTTCAGTGGTAAGAAGAGGCTGTGACTCAGTGCTGGGACCCTGTACCAGAGCTGGCATCTCTGTGCCCAAGGACACAGTGGGCCATGGGGGACCTTTGGGTGGGGGAGGGAGGCTGAGGCTGGCTGGGGAGTCTTGCTGGTCCCCCTTGACCTCTCAGTGGGGAGCCAGCGGTGCGGAGCAGAGATTTCAGAACAGATAAGGCTGCTGTGCTTGAGGGGTGAGGTTGTCCATCCTAAATTTATTTTTTGGTACTGAGGATTCTAGCCCAGGGGCAGTTTGCCATTGAACTTCATCTCTAGCTGCTGAGGCTGACCTTGAACTTGTGATCCTCCTGCCTCAATTTCTTGAGTGGCTGGGGTGATGGGCGTGTGCCACTGTCTCAGCTTGTCCATCCTAATTTTAATGTCTCAGGCAAGATGGCAAAGTATTGACCTAGTGATATTCATTAGTACCCACTCTGCTGGTCATATTAATAAAGCAAGGTCCGGAGACGTCCATTTTGTGCATTCCTCCTCCAAGCTGTGACCCATCCCTATTGAGAGCTGGTTATTAATGCCCAAAGCAGAGTCTCTGCCACAAATGTGATCACGAGGGCAGGCAGCGGGTGCCTCTGCTGCTCCGGGCCTGACTCCAGGCTTAGATGCTAGGCCTGAGGATGTTGGGGGAAGGGTTTGTTCCAGCCCTTGAATAGGCACTGCCCCCTGTCTGGATGCCCAGAGCAAAAGGTGACCCCAGGCAGTGAGCAGACACCAGAGAACATGGGTGGGTAAGTGCCCTTGGCTTGCCGGTGTGGGTGCAGGTCACTGACTCTGGCTGGCGGTGGCTGGCAGCCTCCCCAGCCCTGGGGGAGGATCAGGCAGAGCTGGCTCCAGCCCAGCCTGCAGGTGCCTTTCAGACTGCCAAGACCTCTCTCCACAGACCCAGCCCCAGGCCTGGGCTTCCCCCTCCCCACAACCCCCACCCTTCATGGTCAGCTTTGTTGTGCCCTGGCTACTCCCTCCTTGGCCTTGCACATTGGGTGGGGTTTTCTGAAGCCAATTAGGTGTCCAGTAACCAGTTCTCCTGCTCTCTGGAGTTCGCATCAGGTCTCACAGTTAGAGGGCTCAGCCCAGAGACTGCCTGCTCTTCAGATGCCAGCACAGATGGGGTGCCCAGTGACCCCCACTTCTGCCTGGCCAGATACAAATTTGGGAATTCCATGACTTCTCCCCCTTGGGCTCACTAATGTTCACAGGGAACACTGGACTCAGCGACCTGCAGCTAGAGGAGGTGACCAGAACAAGATGCGGGGTGAGCCTCCATGTCCCTGCAGTCATGTGCAGTCACGACCCCTGCATATCCACGTACTCACCAGCCGGGCAACTCACAGAACCTCATTTGATTTTTCATAGATCTCCCCCCTCCAACCCCTAGGTCAATGTAATCACTTGGTGTTTCCAGTGACCAGCCCTGCATGAGGCCATTTAGGAGTCTCACTTAAGTCACCTGGTTAGCATGAACTAAGGTGAGTTTATTAAAAATGACAGACATTCCTGAATCATCCACTCCTTGGCAATTCCAAGGGTTGCAGGAACCCTGGGTCAGGAACCTGCACAAAGACCAAATAACTTACACCACACACACCCTTTCTTCAACTCTCCAGTTTTCAAAATTCTGCTGAAGAGTCAGGCATGGAGGCTGAGGCAGGAGGACTACAGTTTTGAGGTCTTGTTCCCAAAAGTAAAAAGGGCTGGGGTGTAGCTCAAGGATAGCTTAGGAGGGTGTGGACAAATGACAGACATAATTAGTAACCACATATGGCTGTTTATTTCATACAGGGCTCTCTGTACAAAATATTTACACATATTCTTTACAGAATAAATAAGTCACCTGAAGGTAAATAGATAATGCTTTCTCCTCAGTGGCTAGGGAGAATCCTGGTGTGAGCAAAGCTGCAGTGCACATTTTCTCCTTAGGCCACAGCACAGGCAAACATCGCTTGCTTCCTGGGATCCAGAGTTGTGGCCTTGGGTCGTCAGCAGCTCCTCCACCTCTTGCCATCGCTGGGTTTACAAACAGGTTTGCGTGCTGCGGCTAGAGGCACAGAGCTGTTGCCATTTGAAAAGATGGCAAGAGGACAAACTTGGCACAGGAGAAGATGGAATATTTGCCATCTCTTGTCACCTCTGGATCCTGGAAGAATTTTCATTTGTCCTAATGATCCCACCACTTTCTGGATTAATCCATCTGCTGCACATTCACCCTACGTGCCTCCTGCTGTGCATGACTCACCATGCTTTAAGATGTTTTGGTTAAAGTGCTCAGTGTAACTCAGAACTCTCCAGCATGCTGGCAGGAAGCCTGCTGACCACCCACCCTGCACATCGTGGGCATGCAGGAGGGCGGAGTGCTTCTGACCCGTTCACTTAATGAAATCACCAGCTGGGAGAGCCCAGGAAAATAAAAGTACACAGCTGCTCCACACAATGCACTCCAATTTTTAAAGCAGCAAAAGGCACTTCCCCCCCCCCCCCAAGCTCGAGTTAATGTACAAACCTGGCTTCACTCACAGAAAGCTGCCCAGGACGACTGTGGGATCCCCCTTCTTCCCAAGGCCTGGGGGGCCTCCGAGAAGCCTGGGGCGGGACTGGCTGCTCTGGGCCCTGCCATGCTCTTCATGCTACAGTTTGTCCCTTTCTGGTACCATCAAGTTTCCACCATTTCCCACTAGGCAGAGACCAGGGGCTCTGCTATATCAAGCCCAGACGATGCGAGTGGGCGCCTCCCTGGGAGTGGAAGGCTGGTCTGTGGGGAACAGGAAGGAAGCAAAGTGGGTTGGAAGTGGGGGGCTCTCCACAAATGGCAGCTCTGGCTGAAGTGAAATGTTACGCAGTTGAGTAGAAAGTAAACTTCAGGGTTGTACAAGCTCATCCTTCTGATGAGAACTATTTTTTTCCATGAAGGAACGATTCTTTTTAAAGTGAAAGTACTTTACATGTTAGGAGTATATAATTCTAAAAATAGTAATAAAAGTGTCTTTTATAAGTAATGTCATGTGGCTTGTAGAAGAGAACAGGAAGAAATAAAAAGGCAGGCAAACCAGTCTAGGTAATATTCTCTCCTGCTGGACTGGAAGTACCCACGTGATTTCTAGGCTGAAAATAGGTAGGATTTCACCAGTCACCTAATTCGTGTCTGATTTCTGACCAGCTAATGGAGCTGCTTTTAAAAGGGCTCCCACTCGAGAGTCCTCTGCCCCTCACTTTCATCCAAGACCCGACTCCTTCAGCAGCAGGCCTCTTTCCTCGTCTATCTGAAGTGGACAGAACCCCAGGAGCTGCAAGGAGGGCATTCTGGGGTCTGGCTTACTTTCTATTGGGTAGCCAGGACGTCCCCCAGTAGCCAGGGAAGCCCAGGCCCTGAGGTTCTCAGGATGGCTGGGAACAAAAGAACCCACTTCCACCAACATGAGGGGAGGTGGCAGAGACACTCTCAGGTCCGTGGAAGACACCGCAGGTCAGGCTTGCTCTGTGACTGGCCTCCAAAGCCATGGCAAACGTGGCAGGCGAGGGTGGCAGGAACAGAACACCCTCGACAGAAACCCTTTTAATCAAGGAAATTCCATCTTCTCAGTCCTTCTGGGAAAGGGCGAGACCGGGTGCACTGTGAGAGGAAGTGGCTCGGGCTTCAGGGGAAGAGCTGCAGCTGGAACTTGGGGGCCCATTCCAGGGCACTTTTCACCACTGCTAGAGCAGCTGCTCCCAGGGCCACCGTCAGCCCCATCACTGCCAGTTTCACAAAGCGGTTGGTCCTTGGTTTGGTCAGAACATCTTTTGTTCGAGTCTCAGGTCGCAGAAGTCCTCGAAACCGCTGCCGCAGCACCATATCCGGCCTCTGTTGGGCTGATGCCAGCTCAAAGTCTTTGAAGGTAGAGGCTGCAGTTCTGCAGAGGAAGGAGGCAGAAATAAGGACTGGTATGAAGGAAGAAGAAGAGGAGCGGTAGAGCCAGAAAGTTCTTTTGGATAAAGACCCGAGAAGTCTAAGGGGATTCGGCTGGAATGGCTCTGGCCACTGTCCTGCCCTGTCCTCACCCCACAGTCTCCCCTGCCTCTGCCCTTTACAGCTGCCCCAACTCTACTAGTGCCTCGCTCTGCTCACCTCTCAGCCTGCTGCTGGGCAGCAGCCTCCCGTGCGAGTTCTGAAGGGGGAAACTGAACAAAGAGGTCCCCTGCTCTGCTGATCAGCGTCTCATAGGGCAGGTCCTGAGGGATCTGGGACAACAAATGGTGGACCGAGGCCATGTCACAGTCACAGTCCAGAACTTCCTGCTCACGATACAACACAATCTGTGGGAAGAAAGACTTTGCATCATGGACCAGACACACAGGGCCGTGGCCAGCTGCCTCTCAGTCTCTATAGAGATGAGTTCAAACCGGAAACAGACAGATCCCAGCCCAGCTGCTCAGCAAGCTCTTGTATCCATCCAGGAAGGAATGAGGCACATTCTTTCAGTGCTATTCCACAGCTGGGCTGGGCCTTCCTGCTAGGAGCGCACTGCCACTCATGACGTGAAAGACTGACAAAGTAAGTCCTTCCAGGCACATTTGTCTGCTCAAGTGTCTCTCAGAGTCTTGAAAGAAATGAAGGTGATTCTTTTAAGAAGAAAAGGAGAGGGATCATGGGAAGATTCTTGGAGCTTCAGCAAAGAAATGGTTCAAAATCGTAGAAGGAATCGTCTGGTTCCCTTTAAACATCTTCCTTCTTACCGCTGGCCCACAAATCCACTGCTGTTGAAGGGATCTGTGAAGAACTTCCTGGGTCCCCACCTCTACAAATTACTCAGGCCTGTGCTTCCCCTACCCCCCATACAAGGAATTGAACTCAGGGGTGCTCTACCACTGAGTTACATCCCTATCTTTTTTTTTAAAT